TAAAGGGTAATATAACTGAAGGTAGAAAGCAACTCAAAATCGTCAAAATTGGATCTTCAGGTATCTTAATTCATGCAATTGTTCCTTCTCACGATTTCAATATTTCGGAATATTGCATGTATTCTTGTAAATTGTTGTTAAGATACCAAACAACGATACTAAAAGCGCACTTAAAAGTACTACTATATCTACCATTGCCTTCAAATTTTCCAGACTTTCAAACCTATCTAGCTCTACCAGTTACTTACCTCGCCCTTCAATGATATCTCACGAAATCAGCTGTCACATCAGAATCGTTTAGAAAACCGTGAAATACTGAAGCTAGGCATTCGCCAGAGCTGAAAGGCACACTGAAGCCTTTCAGGGCTTGTTTCCCTCGGTCACATGATCTGTCACGTTTGTTCTCAGTCGATATTGGGGATTTACCGGGATTATACTGGAAATAAGGATGCTACGTCGGGATATTGGCTCGACGCCAAATTATCCGCGCGTGCAAATTTAAAAAAGCTCGGTCAGATTTGAACCGCTAACACGTGGGGATTTAAAAATAAGTTTATTGTATTCGGTTGGGGGTTTTATACACACACTGCAGAGGGGCACGCATTATGGGCCCCAGACATGCGAATAGTAGAGTAACTGGAGAAGTCGGTATTAGATTCCCATTCAAGGAATAAATGGAAGTGGGTTGGCATCTGTGGGAAGGATGTTTGTATTTGTAGCAAATGGAGTGAGGTTTTTGTTAGGATTGAACACTACATAACTATTTATGTATCTTTGAAATGTAGTCTTGTTTCTAAAAATGGTTTAACTGATTCTCTGATACATTTTATGTAATTTTTTGAATTGCCGCTTTTCTTCTTTAAATAGAATTATTTCAAATATCTTCACCCCTTTTACTTGTTTGTACAACTTCACCAGTTGTTCAGTCGAGTAATCTTCTATATTCAATTTTGATGATGATAGCCAAAAGTTTCTCACACAAGAATGAGGTAGAATTGTTATTAACTCTCCTACTAAGTACTTGTTATTTTTCTGCTTGTTATGATTGTTTAAATTTCTGAAATCATCCCTTAACTTTTAGTCTCCTTAACTCTATTAATTTTAATAGTACATGAAAAAGTCAATAGGTGTAGAATTTTATGGTCTACAACTTTTATAAGAAACATTTTTCTAGCTCTCACCGTTTTGAGTTATCTTGAAAAATCCATTCATTTTATCTTTTTTCACCCCTGGCTGGAGGTTGAAAAATTACTGTCAGTTATTGTTATTATATACCTCAAACTAACTTATATCAAAAATTCAGGCAAGCTGAGCAAAACTACGATTTAAAGGCCGATTTAATTGGACTAAATTAGTATGCCGTCGATTCGTTCTAAAAGAAAATGTAGATTTAAAGATTTATAGATAATAACCTCCTCTGCTGATATATTTTTGGAATTAGATCGTTAGAATACCAAGAAATGTAAAGAAGAAACATACCACTATATTTTACCTGCAGCTCAGCTATTTGAAAAATCATAATATTATTAATATTAGCATAGATATTACGTAATTAAGTTATCAGTAAAAAGGAATCTCACATATTTGTCAAAAGCCAAAAGTCTCATAATGTCCTGTTAAATATATACCAGGCTATACAGGGTGACCAAATGAAAACGAAACAGAGCCATTTTCAGGAACTGCGTCAAGATTGTAGAAAGACGCTCTGACCCGTCGATTTTAGATTAAAGGGGGATATTCTTTGCTGGCATTTTTGACTCCGCCACTTTCACCCCCCAAGCAAGGGTAGGCATCACCCCAAAATATTTAAATGGGATTGGGGGTTGAGTAATATTTCTTTTGAAAGCTCTTACAATTCTCTTTACAACAGACTTTGAAAACAATTTACATTTTAAAATTTAAATTATGTTTAGTTGCTTACTTACTACTTAATTGATTAAATGTTCAAACTGATGACCGCCCGCTTCCATACAAGAATAAAGAGTTTGTTCGAAACGTTCGCGCACATTCCGAAGCATTTCCGGAGTGATTCGATGGCATTCGTCGACGATTCTTTGACGCAAATCTTCCAGTGACGCTGGCTGTGTTTTATAGATTTAACTTTTTAGGTATCCCCACAAAAAGAAATCAAGAGACAATAAATCTGGTGATCGTGGAGGCCACTCAATGCTGCCTCTTCTCCCAATCCAATTCCGCGTTGGTCCAAATACTGACGGACAATTAACGCATAATGCGAAGGAGCAGCGTCCTGTTGAAAAATCAAATGATCTTCATCATACTCTGGAACATTTTCAATAATATCAGTCAAGGCAGGGTCAATAGCGTCTTCCAGTAATTGCAAATACATTTGGCCAGTCAAATTACCAGGTAGAAAAAAAGGACCCACCAGCCGGTCACCGAAAATTCCAGCCCATACATTTAATTTTTCCGGTTGCTGTGTATGCACCTCGTGAAAAACTCTTGGGTTTGAATCGGACCAATAGCGGCAATTGTGACGATTTACCGTCCCGTTCAAGAAAAAACTGCATTCATCAGAAAAACAGATGTTAAAAAGGAACTGTGGATCGTTCCCTGCTCGCTCACTCATTATTTCGCAAAATTGCAAACGGCGGTCATAATCATCCTCATGAAGTTCCTGGACTAAATGTATTTTGTATGGATGGAATTTATTCTTCTTCAAAATGGTTTGTATGCTAGTTCGATTGATCCCAGACACAGATGCCAGCTGCCTCGTACTTAATGTAGGATCAAGATGAACTTGTCCCAAAACTGCAACTTCACTAGCTTCATTAACTATAGGTTTTTCAATTTCTCGTTTTTTATTGGCTACGTTCCCTGTCTCTTGAAATTTTTTTACTAACTCTAGAACATACTTCCTCCTGACATGTCGATCTTGATGTTGTTCATTAAATAGCTGAGCTGTTCTATTCGCACATTTATTGTTCATAAAGTAAAGCGAAATGATATCTACCCTTTCCGCAATGGAATAAACCATAGTGTTTAATTTTCAAAAACACAATTAAATAAACTACCAACCAACGCTTCCAAATAATACTAGAAAATAATTTGGAATCCACTAATTTTACGTTCATTGTGTGTGTATAGCATTCATTTCTGTTTTTTACAATTGTTTTTTTTTTACGAAAGTGATAACAAGTCGCCAAAAACCAATGTAACGCAAGAAATATTAAATTTATACCATTGGCGTACTTAACTCGAATGACTGACATTTTTACCGTTACTAATAATTGTTTGTACATAAGTTTCAACTTTAAAATCAAAATTCTTAATAAGTATTGGGCGGAATTATAAAATTCAAAGTCTGTTGTAAAGAGAATTGTAAGAGCATTCAAAAGAAATATTACTCAACCCCCAATGCCATTTAAATATTTTGGGGTGATGCTTACCCTTGCTTGGGGGTGAAAATGGCGGAGACAAAAATACCAGCAAAGAATGTTCCCCTTTAATTTAAAATCGACGGGTCTGAGTGTTTTTCTACAATTCTGATGCAGTTCCTAAAAATGGCTCTTTCGTTTTCATTTGTCCACCCTGTATATCGAAACATGAATAATAATAAGCCACTAATTTCCATATCCTTTAACGCTTAACTTAACTAACAAAATCATTTATGCAAAATCGACGCCTGACAGCGCTATTTGTCGTGAGAACCTGCCAGGCGGTTTTTCAGTCCAACATTTTCGTACGTTGCACCCGCTAAGACCTTTTCAAAAGCCGTATGTACACATACAGGTGTGGGGTGTGGGTTAACGTTTTTTTAATGTTTGTTCCTTGCGTTTCTATAAATGCCGCTCAATCGAGCAGCGTTTATGCAAATAAGGCGTATGTCAGTCATTGCAACACCCTGACTCAATTACTGCGAGTTGTTTTCTTAGAACTCCGCTTAATTAGATGCTTATGTACAGGATGTCGGACGATGCAGTAAAAAACGCTGTGAACTGGTGCGAAAATATGTAAAATTAAACATTTTACTTTCCTTAGTCCTTCGCCGTTTTCCTGGAAAGCCTATGCTTGTTCGTTTGAACTTGACACTTTTTTTACCTCAAATCTATTGATCCAGAATAAAAACATTAAACAGATTTACTTAAATTTCTTTATACTTTACAAAAATCATTATACGAGTAGAATGTCAGTACATTTCTTTAAAATTTTAAACCAATTTGGGGAAAATTCCATTTAAAACTTTTGATTCAGAACTAATCGTGAGAAAAATCTTCAATCTTTTTCAGCAGGACAATGTTTAGAGCTGAAAAAGCGTATTATATTCTTTGAATGCGTTAAAAAATACAAATGGAACAAATCTACTGAAATTGTAGAGTACTAACAACTTTACAAAAGAAGAAAACTCTTATTTCCATATCGTTTTGAGCATAATGCACCTCTATCGTCTCCAAACCAAATACAAAAAGAAAATACAAATCGATTACACTTTAATCTTTGTTAGAAATCTTATTACAACGGAGCTGGTTGTGCCATCTTACGGCTGGTTTCCTAAGTTCTGTCTTATAAAGAGAATGTGGATACCTATATGCATGTCAAGTATTCTTAGATATACAAATACGTATACGGAGAAGTTACCCATACTGAGAAGGTCAGGTCAGTTTAATTAGGAAACATATTTCTTTTGTTGTTATTATGAAATCTTTAAAACTAAAGTTTCTGCTTTCACCAAGCAGATGCCGCTACGTTCGTTGAGTATACAACCCAGAGATTAAAATATGTATATTGTGTTGCATAGATCTTAAAGGTAGACTTCCATAAATATCTGAACTCCTGAGCACATTGCAAGTTGCAAGTTTTTGTCATACATGGGCGTAGGTAGGACTAGTCTAGTGGGTCGTTTTTTAAATATAATTAACAAAAATTAGTAATAAAATTGTAAAGGGAAAATGAGAAAAGTTAAACACTTGAATGTTTATAAATATAAATTTTTAATTTAAAATTTCTTGAGATTCCTATTATATTTCTATGAATATGCTTAACAAATAAATATAACTATTAAGAATTAAGGGTTACGTATGTATCTTTGGGCCTTCTATTTACAAATATTGCTATACATAGAATCGCTTCATATAAAAAATTTCATAATTGTAAATTATCACAATCTATCTCACGAATTTCTACTTCTTGGATTTCTTTAACAACTTTCTTATTCTGCAGTTCAATACCAAGCTTCTTTGTTTGATACGGCACATCTGCAATAGATAATCAGAATTAGTTGGCTTCTTTATATGTTAAAATTTGTCCTATTTATATTCCTTAAATTTATCAAGCAGTTTTAAATTTGTAAATGTCCCTTTGCTGTGGAAACTGATACAAAAATGTTCGTTCTGAATCCCTGAGTGTTATTAAAATATAATCTGCTTCTTACTAGGTGTAACTTTATCCCGTAGGGGCACACATTTGGTGGCGTTGTGATTTTTAGTCAAAATTTCACAGAACGATGATGGCAACTCCATTGTTGAATTGGTAACGATTCCACAGATATCTGAAAAATGGTTTTGGATAAATATTTGTATTTCCCAACATTACATTCTACCTTTAAAATTTTTGTTGACAAATGCTATGAGATACTTGGAATTCTTTTGAAACTCTTCTTCGCTGAGTGAAGTCTCTGCTGATAGTTTGATGATTTCTGGTTCTTTATTCACTAGTCTCTGAACATCTGGCACTCCTATAACTGAAAAAATATGTATTTACAATACAAATATGGAAAGAACATAAAAATACATATATGTAAAAATTAAATTTTGAAAATATACAGTATAGTATTTTTTATGAGGTTCTTATTCCTTTTTTTTTAATAGATACCCGATATAAACACTTACAGAGACAATCATCAGATATTTGTTCTCCTCTAATTTTAAATCTTAAGTCATCAAATTTTCTTTCCAAAGTGCTTCTGAAAACGATGTTGGTAGAAGTGTTGTTTACATTAACTTTTACTAAAAGAAAATAGAAAAATGATACCCTCATGGTGGGAAGTATATTTAAAAATAAGGACATCTTTTCTCCGAAAATGAACAATAAGGGAGATCCTTATTCCTCCTCTAAAAACTAATAGGAATAGGATATTTTTTTTGATATTAAAGTAAAATAACTCCCTTGTTACTCATAATACAGAAAAAAAGTTTATATAAAAGTTGTCCAGAATCAAGAAACCTACAAAATTAATTTGGGCGATGTGTAAAAACGGGACACGCTAAAGATTACATTTTTTTAAATGGAACACCCTGTATATTTTTAGACATATGGATTTCCGAGAAAATTCTATATATGGCTATATAAACAGTTTACCATTTTAGTGCGATGTTGCCAAGTTATGTAGAAAATTCTTCGAATTTTGGAAAAAACATAACCTCGAAGAAGTTGTATTTACTTTCAACTATTAACACTTGCAATAAAAATATTTGACAGAGATATAGGCAAATGTTAGAAAAAGGCTCCTATATTAGCTAATATCGATATTTTATACAGGACATTTTTTATAATACGACCATTTTTAAAAAGTTTAAATTTGATTTTCTAAAATTTATGGAACACCCTGTATTTTATTGTTCTATTTAACTCACATATCGGTTCATTTCAACTTTTATTAAGCATGTTCTATATCTAAAGTTGTTAGTTTTTAAGACATACCTAGCAACATTTCTGAAAAACTTAATTTTTATTATTTTATAGAATACCACAAATAAATATTAAATAATAATATTAACTTAAAATGGAATGATAAATTATGAACTGACAAGTTGACACAATGTGACAGTTTTTTCCAAAGCCATTTCGTGCGACCGAAAATAATAAAAAAAAATTTTTTCTAGAAATGTTGCTATATCTTAAAAACTAACAACTTTAAGTGTAGAACATGCTTAATAAAAGTTGAAGTGAACTGATACGTAAATAAAATAGAACAATAAAATACAGGGTGTTCCATTTGAAAAATTTTAGAAAATCAAGTTTGAACTTTCTAAAAATGATCGAATTGTAAAAATGCCCTGTATAAAATATCGATATTAGCTGATATAGGAGTCTTTGCCTAACATTTGTGATGTTTTTTCCAAAATTCGAAGAATTTTATACATAACTTGGCAACCCCGCACTAAAATATTAAACTGTTTATATTGCCATATATAGAATTTTCTCAGAAATCCATATGTTTAAAAATATACATGGTGTTCCATTTAAAAAATGTAATATTTAGCGTGTCCCGTTTTTACTAATCGCCCTGTATGTTTCAAATTAATTTTGCCCTTTAGGTTTTTTGATTCTGTACAACGTTTATATAAACTTTTTTTCTGATGTATTATGAATAACAAGTTATTTTACTTTAAGTGTTAATATTTTTTTCCTTTAAATTTCAGTACTCCGACAGACTTACCTATTCTACCAGATAGATGTCCACAGTACATTGTACCATCTATTAATAGTGATTCCACTCCACAGACAAGATCAAATTTTTCCAAATAGAAGTTTATTTTGCACACATTCTAAAAATACAGGGTGTAAATAAATTAGTACAAAAGAATATGTTGATTTAGATAGTTTCATTTACTTGAAACAATTCGATTTCTTCTTTTTCATAAAGGTAATAGTTTTTGAGCAAAACGTAAATTGTATGATGCATGTTCCGATATCAAACATGGTTATTGAGTTATTTTGGAAAGATTGAAGTGTCAAAAATTTTGAAACATGAATTATCCATAATTTTTTTATTTTTTGATCTGTGATTTGACTAGCACAAGTCTGCAGATAAAATGCTAGAAGTACCGAGTCGTTAGTCTTTCGGTAGAATAATGTGATTTTCTAGAAAACAGTGGTAGATTTCAGATTTTTTTTTTAAATTTTGTATTTGTGAGGTAGGTACATTTTCCTTTATCAGATCGCAACATTATATCTGTAATAGCAGTTGAGCTGGGAAAAAATTAATTGTCAAAATTTTTTAGACTGAATGCAGATTACGTATAATTTTTGTGAATTTTTTGATCTGGAACGTGCGGTTTATTTCTCGGTATTTAAGCAAAAATAGACAAAATTTTTCTCTTCTCATTTGTAGGGTCACCAACTGGAGAGAACTTTTACATGAAATTTAATTTTCAACAAAGAATCACTTCGAATTTTTTCTCACCTAAATCCCTATCACCCTCAAAATTATGATTCTAAATGAAAAATGCTTCGAAAAGTTCTGCAAAAAGTTACAAAACTTATTGACACTTTAAATTCATTCACCTCTTTTTAAAACTTTGAGTATGGGTGGTCCTTTGACTCAAAATCCAGTGGCGTCACACTCAAAAAGTTCATGTCTAAAAGAAATATACCTAAATATTACCTTGTCAAACTTTTGTACACTGAAAGTACATATCTTATGATCCCCATTTACTTCCATAGTGAACGACTTCTGGCTGATAATTTTATTACAGTAATCATTGGCAGGCGTCGTGGGGATAATGGGGGCTGTGGTGGTATCGACAGGATGAACCGGGAACTCGTCCTGACATGCAATTTGCTGATACACCCCAGAGAAACCCCTCGCGCAATAATAACCATCTGTCACGAATATCATGTCTTCGTAGTCCTTATTTCGCAGATCGATTAGCCCTAAAATATATATTATTAAGACGTATAGGGTTTACAGAAGAAGGATAGTGGCTGTTGACACTTGAGCGGCCAATAATCATAGCCTGCGCTGATTTTCTATAATTGGGATATAAATCCATCTGCGCAAAACGAAGTTAGTAGTAAAGAATATGGGTCGTTGGGTATAATAATATTTTTTTTGTTAAATGAAGTAGAAGCTTTAATTCGTTCGATTTGTTCCGTAGCCTTTTACGAAATATTGTTGAAACAATTGACACTAAGATTTTAATTCTGTGAATTGTCAAAAAATTGTCTCGAATTATGCTTCAGATATTCATGATATACAGGATGTCAAAAAAGTAGAACAACAAACTTCACTAGTTTTTAATTTGTTGTGGGAAATAACTACCCTGCGGACAAAAGCTTTGTCTAGCATTGAAGTACACCAGCAATATCTACTAAAACAAAAACGTACAACTAAATTGCAATAACCTAACATTCGAAAACAATTATTACCGTTATTTAATTGTTTTTATTAACAAATAAATAATATTTGTTAATATCTAAAATGTAAATAAATGTATGTGGCGGCATGTTATAATTACATTTTTATATTTAATTAGCAAATAAATTTGTTTTTATAATTAATATCACATTAATCTTAAAATAATTATCACATTATATTAAGCTGTATTTAGAGTAAATGAGATTAGGAATAAGTACATCATTAATTATAGAGCTTTAGGTATCTAACTTGTTTTACCAGGGTTAGAAGTAAGTACACGACTGAGAGGGCAAATTTATCTTAGATCAGGCAAAGAAACGACATTATCAGTATGGGTTAAGCCTTACTCCCGATCGGTCGTGCTGTCCTGTAAAGAAGCGTCCAATAAAGTTATATTGTTACACGTTGCGTTTTTCTTTGGATGAACTCGAAGCTCCCATAAGTATATGATTGCCTCTAGGTGAAAGTCTGTTTTTTGCCGTTCACTATTAAAAACACAATAAAAGCTAGGTTAATTGCCAAATACGGTAGGTCAAGGGGATTAAACATTAATCTGCATTTTTTTTCAGTGTAAATGTGCATTTTAATTTTTTTTAATCGCATGCATAGTCGTATTCTACTCGTTTTTTTCTATCTTCCCTTAAAATTAAAGACATTATGACTGAATCACCCTGTATAACTTTAATACAGTTTAAGCTAGAGATTTTTATTTAGTTCTTATACATTTTTATTTATTTGAAGGTAATGTATGTAAGAAAATTATTGTAGGGTGTTATTTTTTTGTTATTTCCACACTATTGCCTATTCCATAACTTTTCTATATGTACTCTATGGCTATTTAATTTACATATTTCAATATAAAATTCATTATAAATATTTTAAATGCATTGAAATACAGGGTATTCATGAATTCCAGTGTTATATTTGAAGGAAAGATTTTTTACAGAAATGCAAATATGAAAAAAATTGTTAGAATATTCCTAAATACGACTCCGAAGATATACAGGGTGGCTTTTTTCAGCGTCAAAGTCCAATAACCCGATTATGGTAGCACCAGGAAAAAAATATTTTAGACAAAAGTTGCTCCCAGTCAAGTTCTCCACATTTTAAAATTAGTTTGAATTATACAGGATGTCCCAGTTCCCCTGAGCGCCAATCAACTTTGTTTTTTTAAATACAACACCCTATATATTTTTGCATTTTTGAATTACTCGATGAATTTTAATGTCACTGTGATTAATAATTATGGTGTCTATTATGCACCGTTTCTATGTTAATTGATGATTTCTTAAAAAAATGACGTTTGCAGCGACTAGGAAAAAA